GCCGGGATTTTGTGTATCGGGATTTTGTTGCCGGGATTTTGTGTATCGGGATTTTATGTGTCGGGATTCTGATATACAACCACTCTAATTGTTGAACTCTAATGATTTGTACCAACCCTGAGTTATGAACTCCGAGTGAGTTGTTATTTATTTAAGACGAGCTAGAGGCCCTTATATATCGAATTTTACAGACTAAAAAGTGAGTGAATTCACTCTCTTACTTTGCTTACTTCTCTTACTCCACTTCTCTTACTTCGCTCACTTTACTCACCTTTCTAACTTAAATAACGATCATAGCTAAAAATAAAAAAAAAAAAACAATAAAGAATTATCAACTAAAAATAGAAATGGGTGGCCAAGCACAACCTAATTTCGGGTGGTGATACGCCAAAAATTATTTCGAGCCATAATTCACCTTTCACAACGTCTACAGCTATTTTTAGGCACGATCATCAATGCCCATACATAACCAATATCGCTATATATTTTACTTTTATTTATTAATTCATTGAATTTTAAATATAACATAGTACAGTACAATTTGTAGAATTCGGATTATACGATAGCAATACCTATTATAGCGCACTCAAATATTGCTAATTGTAAAAATTTTTAGAAAAAATTAATTTATTTATTAAGGGCATTCTCAAGCACCTACCTCAATGAATTCAATAAAAAATCTGATTGGCTAGTTTGATTAAACAGACCAATCAATTCGTTATTGAGTCCATTGAGGTAGGTGCTTGAGAACGCCCTAAGTTTATCATATTAAAATAACGTCCGATTTACTATCTAATATTAAAGAAAAATCTTTGTATTTTAAACAAGAAACTTGGTACAGTATTCTGAACTTCAAAAACTATGGCGCACCATGCATATTGATATTCAATATTGTGTTACAATATATACAGATACCCTTTTTATATTTTACTTTGCTGATCTCTTCCCCTTGAATTGTCCAAATAGGAAAAAAGCACCATAATACCTAGCTTTCCTCAATCCTTGATCAGAATTGTTTAATTTTTGTATCATTAGATTCGTCTCACTAAGACGAATCGAATGGTACGAAAATCATCCATTTCAGATCACTATTTCAAGAGATATTGATAAAAAACGTAGGTGCGCCACAATACCTCCCGCGCCATAATACCTGTCCTGCCCTTATGTTTTGATTATCGATATTCCACATGCCCGACGTAAAAGCTTTACCATATTATTTGTTTATTTTTTCCCTACAATATTTAGCAATCTGTTTCCTCTTTTTACTTGAACAGTTATAAAATTAATAATATTTTTGCAAATGACATTTCTTGCCAAAAAAGGAAATTATTTGCCTAATAAAGCAAAACTCCGTAAATGAGTCCAAAAAATGACAAGAATAAAAACAAATTCTAACATTTAAAGCTCTCACCCCTTTTTTGTTGATGTTGCTTCTTCTGAACTTTATAACCAGACGTATACAACTCTAAAAGCTCTAAAGAATGGCTCAAACAGAAAGTGTTATTAATGTCGATGATAGCGATGACAATAATAAAATATCACCTGAACAACTTATTCATTTTGTTGACTTGGTTAATACTCCTAAACCGACTTTAAGTCCAACTATACGGCGAATTCCTTTAGTTTCTCAAACTTTAACTTATTTAGTTTATTTTAAACGCGTTATAATTTATTTATTCTTTACATTATTATTTAATATTACATTACCTATCACCAATCCATTAGAATTCATAATCACTTTTGTTTTCTTTCCTATATTTACGAACTTTGTATTTTTCTTTGAGATTACAATCAAACTTATAAGTTTTATTCAATCATTAAGTCCAGAAAACTATCAAAAAGTAGTTGACTTATGGTCATCATTTACTGATAAAGAC